ATTGTTGCAAAATATTTCTTCAAAAAGATTCCATTTGCATAGAGATACTAACATCTGCCTCTGGATTAGGTCTGTTTTTGTTTGCACCGCTCACACAGGCACTGTTAGATAGGTTTGTTTGGAAAGCACTTTAAGATTCTTGGGTGGAATGGCGTATTTGCAACGGGGATTCCAATACTGACATATGATCCTAATGTGCAGGAAAATGAATATGATGACGCAGCAATATAACTGAAACATTAAAATTAGCTGCTATCATTGAGCTTCACATGTAAATAGCCGCCCACCAAATCCCCAGAGTTCTCTTGAGTTAACCGGCCTAAAAAACAAGGGCTGATCGGTTGGATTCGTATTACGTATGAAAGCTAACCCAGATGAAGAGGTACACGGCGGAAAAAGCGCTGATTGGCTGAGAAAAATGACATAAGCTAAATCTTAACCATGAGCTGTCAGTGTGGTTAAATTAGCTCATTTCGAATCCCTCCACACTCATTGACTTAAATGATTTCGTATATCTTTGAATGGGTATGACAAATGAGTGGTAAGTTGAAATAAGTGGCTCACAGCTACTTCGGGCCATAGACACCATTTCCTCTGATATGATTGGTAGAGAGAAAACCAAAACAAACTGATATGACAAAGAGAGGATTTGGAGAATACTATTCCTTGCTAGCATTTTCGTGGCGGCCATGTTGTAAAGTGAGAACGGGACGGCAGAACAGTATTCTGCTTTATCATCTCTATCTACAAGCGGTAAAAGTGTCATGTTTTTCCATTTGTATCAAAATGTTTTGAAGATTAATTCATCAACTGAAAACTGCAACGAGAAAATGAATCACAAACACTGCCTTTAACAAAGTTACAGTTCTTTCTAACCTATTACTTACGTGTTTTTTTTTATTTTTTTAATTGACTACATTCGTGTTTGAATCGAAGGCATACAAATCAGCTGACCTAAGAAAAACACCGCCTTTTAACAAAGTTACAGTTCTTTGTAAACCATAACTCATGTGTTTTTTTAAATATTTTTAGTTGACTAAATTCGTGTTTGAGTCAAATGCATACAAATCAGCTGTCAGGGGTAAAAACATTTAATATATATTAGGCTTAATTTTCACGCTCCTTCTGATTTAGAATTTGATCTTTCGTTCGCGTATCTTTTTCAGTAGTTTCTTCATCGACTTGATACTCAAGACTTTACAAACCTTCAGCTGATAAGTTTGCACATCCCCTTCACCTTTTTACTGAAGGGCATATTGAATAAGTTTGGAGAAATACTATGTTAAGCGCTTCTGTGGATAGCTGTTAATACCGTGCTCCCAGCTACACGCAATGCATAATCAAGAAGGGATGAATTGAGTGACTCTATAACACGACATGGCTAGATGATATAAATTTTCCCTTAATATTTTTCTATCAATTGAATGAAAAATCTCTAAGTTGTCATTCACTTTCATACCTAGCAGATGACGCTAAGCAAAGATAGGTACAATCGCCATAAAACACAAAACTGAATGATTAAAAATGTTTTTAATTGGGGTTACTTTTTCTTGCGAGTGATCAAAAATTTTGTTTGTTTTCCCATGATTGTTAAATTGGATTTGTATGATCGTCATGTTTTGCCGATTAAAATTTCTGCATTTAGTTTGATTGAATCCAAACGGCTGGCACGTGAGTCCATGACGTCAATCGGCATTTCTGACAGAGAACGCAAATGTTTTTGTGCAAACTAATAGTTTTTTACGTCCATCCGCGTTGCCAATGAAACCAACACAAGATAATGGAATACTCGGGAAAGGATTTGCAGGTTGACACATGATATTCCAAGTAATTAGCTCTCGACTGATGTCCAACTTTCCAGCACCACCCCACTTGCTAAACCTCTCCTCTGTTCATTGTAGACTTTCGTGCACCTGCACAACCTGTCGAAAATTTTCATAACAACAGATCTGTAAATGTTATAAAAGGAAACGATAATACTGCGTTTAGCCTAAGACGACTCAGAACTCAATTTTCCTGGACGCACCAACCTTGTGCTTGGTTATGCTGTGGATTTAAAAGCAATGATTGCAATCATGGTTTACCATAAGACCTTACAGTGACCACTAAGTTGGTGATTTATTTCTATTTCTTCTCTTCTGGTGCCGGGCCATGACGGGCTCTAACAGTACAACCCTCTCGGCCATTTCAGAAAGCCAAGAGCCGACCGAATATTTCTGCTCGAGCAAAGAAGTTTTACACTTGGATTTTAACTGACACGACAACATTTACAGCTTCCACTGTAATCTCCGCTGCTGCTTGCCCAGTTACAGCTTTCCTGAACATTTTAGTGATCTTTGCCATGAGGAAAAGGAAAGAATTACAAAAAAACTCGAGTACTTTATTGGTCAGTCTAGCTGTGTCAGATTTGCGTGTTGGCGCCATTTCCATGCCCTTTATAATTAGCCGAGATGCGCTCTATCTCAAGATGAAAACTGCTGTAACCGGCGTACTTATTTGCCGTTTAGCGCTAGCAAATCAACTGGTGTTGTATACTTGTGCTTATGTTGTTCTCTGTATCATATAACTGTAATTACTTGGGAGAGACACACGGAATTGAGAGAGTTGTGGACTTACAGATTGATTGTCACTAAAAACGTGTCATTTGCTTTGCGGCAATCTCTTGATTATTGTCCTTTGTGAAAACTTTTTTCTTGCGTGGATTAGTAAGGGCAGGCGCGAACCACAAGTTTATTGAGATCGTGGATTCTATTGTCTCCTTGCCCGTTCTGTTCAGCTTGGTTCTGATTGGGTATTTTTATTGCATGGTTTACATCAGTGTACACAGACAAAAACTAAATGACATCCGTGGATTACGCACACAAGACAGAGACAAACGATGGAAAGAGGCATTGCCAAATCCACAGCCATAACATTCGCCTTAGGGATCTTTTACCTTCGATGCTTGGTGGTCATTCTCGCGGGCACAAAAATGCCCTTCCTTGTCCAACGAAGGGGAATGTGTTTAGCTTTCTAAAGTTGTTTCGTGATAGCTAAGTCCAAAAAAAATCGTATGATATCACGGATATCCAACGCCCGGCAGGAGATTTGTCCTCTCTTGCCCAAACTCATGATCAGTCGGCTACATACGTATTTTACCGTACTACGTAATATTATCATGCATTGCATCAGATATAAGGATTATGTCTTCTAAATGATCATTTAAAGACCAGGACACAATTCAAAAATTGGTAAAAACTGTACGAATTAAAGAAATTTTCATGGCAATTTGTAAAAGTCCGTTAAGGCAGGTAAGATTATCACAGGCTACCCAAGGTCAATCGTTAGACGTGCTGTATCGTAACACGTAATAGATAAGGACAAGATAAAATATAAGGGTGTGTTTAAATGTTATAGTGTGGCAATAAAATGAATAGGTAACCTCATAATTTTGAAAGTTATTAGAGAGATTTAGTACCGCGTTCACGTGAATCGTGAACGGCAAGAGTGACCACGTGACCTTGTTTTTTCCGCTATTTTTTCACGTTAGCCGAGGGGAGCATTGGGGCCTCTGGGAAACCGCAAAACCGGAGGAAAAACCCTCCAAAACCGAAAAACCGACGAAAAAAGGCAGCAAAACCGAAAACCGCATGCGAACCTGACAAAACCAATACATCTTCACATTTAAAGGGGTCAAAAAGGAAAAACCGAAAACCACATCAGAGCTTTCGTGGAAACCGAAAACCGACTGCAAAAGCACGTAAAATCCGCAAACCGCTCTGAACATCAAAACCGAAAAACCGAACCTTTACGGCCAAAAAGACCGAAAAACCGATCCAAAAAACAGTCAAAACCGCAAAACTGAAAATCCCAAAGCCCCCCTCGTAGACGGTTGCGCTTTGCCACTTCTACGTGAAAGTAACCTGTTTCACGTTTGTCGCGTACACAGGATTTTCTTCACTTTTTCTCTCACAGAGTAGAAGTTAATTTCCGGAAAAAGGCACAAAACTATTCCATGTAAGTCATTCAGGGGCGCTTTCAAATCCGCCATGACGTGAACTCACGTGACGCTAAAGCAACAAGGTTCACGCTATTTTACGTGAAACGTGAAAGCGAAAACTGACGTTTGCCTTTTCACGTGATCGTAGTGCTAAATATTTCTATTGAATAGTGATAGAACGTCAATATAGTCATGCTAAGTGGGTGTATAGTAACTTTCAAATTGAAAAAAATTTGGTTGTGTTGAATGTCAATCGTATCCGCCTGTACGGTAATAATGCCTGGTAATGATGAATGTTACGTTAATATTTCGAAACTCTTACACAGGAAAACCAAAAAAACTGGAACTAGTTCATGATGTCGAGGCTGAGAAGCAAACTTTATAAGGGGGATATTGTGAAATATCAAAATTTTGTTTTCTTTTTCGAAGTCCTACCACACAACTAATATCTTTTTAGCCATTTTAGCTAGGAACTACTGAAAAAGAAGCCAAAAAGACAAAAATTAATATTTATTCAGTTTTATTCAATTTACGTAAAGTTTACAACAAAAGTAAAGCTGAGTTTGAGCTGAAGCCATAATGACCCCTGTCTCCGCCCCTCCCCTCCCCCCCCGTCAAGTGTCTGTTTTTTTTTTCGGAGGGGAGCAATGGTGCAGCCTTTGTGTCGCTATTCGACCTATCGAGTTTTATTTTTAAAAATAATAATGAAAATAAAAGGGAAAAAACACCTGAATGGAAGGATAGCCTTTTAAACAAGTAGATGTTTCACTTCTGTGAAAGGGCCAGTTATAAGGGAAAGAAAAGGTGCCTGATAAACGAGTGGGAAGGATTTTACAATGTCACGTCATCGTAGCTTGTTCTATCAGTGGTGGTGACTGGTCACGGGTAACTTGGAACAGTCAGGGAAACAAGACTTTCTACTCCTTGTTTACCGCAATTATGATACGGTAACCTCCAAACTCAAAAACAGATTATCAAGTCTGTTAGCAGGTCCTGCTCATTCTTCAGAGGGCGAGTTTGACCAATGACTTTTGACACGGTCTTCTATATTTAATTTGAGTCCATGGGTAAACCAGTTTTGTTTTCGTTGTGTAATCGGCGACAAAATCATGTAATTGACGGGGCCATATTTTACATCCACCTGGTGGGAAGAGATGTCAAGGTTTCTTGCCAAATGTGTGGCACGTGAGAGCGGCGATCGCAATTAATCCCTCAAAATGAAGACCGCTCGTGCTTGGTTCATTTGTGCAGCCGTTGCTTCTAATCTGGCTTTCACTACTGGATTGATTTTTAGCTTTGGTGTTTTATTACCTGTGTATATGAACTTCTTCAACGAGAACAGGGAAAAGACAGGCAAGTAATTTTACATTTTTGAAAGGTTACTTTCTGATAATTTCTACAACAGCTTGAGGTTGATCATGATTACATCATGAATTATCAACACCAAGGTCTGAGTTGTCTTCCAAGGCCAAAAGCTCAGACAGACAACGCAGAAAGGAGGTTTGGAAATTCACGAGAAAGTGCAAAAGCAAAATTCAATAATTAATTGTTTTATTATACATTTTTTCCCCCATCAATCTGCCAAAGAAGCCTGAGACACCTCTCACTGAGTTATATTTGAGAAAATTACTTAGACTAGGGGCTTGAAAACTAGTCCAACTTAACAATTATCATGTCAACTTCACATTCTTTTGTAAATTGACTGAATGCTCCCAACCAATTAGATTTTTCCCAGTAAGTTCAATGTATCATTATAACTCAAAGGCTGTGGTCTCAACAT